AGGGGAATCAAGCGGCTCATCTCCCTTCCCTACGCCCATCAACAGCAAGGTGTAGCAGAAAGAATGAACAGGACCCTCCAGAACACCATGCGCAAGCTGCTACGTGGCATGTACATGCCCAACCACCAGTGGCCCGAAGCAATGGACCACGCCGTCATGCTGCACAACTTGCTCTCGTCATCATCTCTCCCGAACAACGCATCACCGCACCTGCTGTGGACAGGACAGCAGGGCAGCACAAAAATGTTAAGAGTCTTCGGCTGCATGGTACAGTACCGGCCCCCATCTGCACGAGCCGGCCGATTCTCCCAACGCGCACAGTGGGGACTACACCTGGGCATCGAAAAGCATTACAACGCATGGAAAATTTTCGACGTCGAGACAAAAGAGACAGTGGCAGCACGTGACGTCATTTTCTACGAAAACCTCACCCTCCGGTATTACCTTGCCAACTTGCAAGAAGAAAACCCCGATCGCTCCGCTGGTTTTCAAGGCACCCGAGCCTTCGCCTCGGCAGACGACGAAGCTGACTGGGACGAGCAGAACGTGGAAGGAGCCTCGGAAGAAGCCGGACCCCTCCCCTACTGCTCCGTCGACGTGCCAATGGACGACGAAAACCCACGCGAAAGCATCAACGCCGAAGCCTATTACCATTTCGCTGACAACGGTTACGTTACACCTGCACAAGTCAACACCGACGAAGCAGAACGCGTAGGACCTAATTTCGCACCTGATCCAGAAGCGGGAGACGAAGCAGTTTATCCCGAGGACACTTCACCCCCCCGCTACACACAGAGTGGACTCCAAATCCTTGGTCTCGTCACTGTAGTTCACGGCGCAGCCATTCCTAAAGAGCCTGCGACAGTTCAACAGGCTCTGGGGGGGCAACATAAGGAAAAATGGCGCGAAGCCATGGACAGGGAGCTAAAGGCACTGGAGGAACGCAACACCTGGAAGGTCGTCCCTATCAGCGTAGCACGGAACAAAACAGTACTCACCGGGAAGTGGGTCTTCCGTGTGAAGACAAAGGCTGACGGCACCATCGACAAGTTTAAAGCTCGCTGGGTCGTACGCGGCTTCGACCAAGAACACGGACGAGACTGTTAAAGTTTAGAAGAAAGAAGAGGATTGCACTAGCAAGAATGGGGATACAAATAGCAAAACCCTAGAAGAGTTGTACTCGCTATAGAGCACCCCACTACAGGCTAGAGCATAATATTCTGACACACCCCCATAGCCAAAGTGGGGTGTAATCAGCAGAGCAAGCAAAAGAAAACAAGCTCAGGGTGGATCACAATGTCACCACACATTCTGAGCACAAGTACAAGAGGTAGCAGTTTTATAGTTAACAAATATAAGCAAAGCTAGAGGCTATCACAGAGGGCAAGTGAGGAGGAGGAGAGACTGTGGGGGAGAGAAGATGGGAGGCGACTGCTGACGCTGCAGACACACAGACGAGCTGCTGGCTCAGTGGCTACCGGAACAGCGCTCCGGACTACTGGGGTAACTGGCCCCGCGGCTAAAAGTAGCGGCAGACGAGCAACGGACCCACGGGCGACTGGCGACTACCGGAGATTGTAGCCTCCGGACTGCTGCTGCTGCTGACGACACGACGACCGCCTCCATTCAACCTCCCCCAACTGTCCCACCCCCATTTCACACACCCCCTGTTCAAACCCTAGCTCTACTCACACTCCACCCCCCTAGCACCACTCCGTACACTCCCACACATCCACCCCCCTCAGCGATAGCTGCAGCAGTGGGAGACGAAGGAGGAGGAGGAGCAGGCGACGCCACACACCCGCCACCCCCCAACCGCCACCCCCCAACCGCCACCCCCCAAACCCTAAAAACAGGGTAGGGAGGTAGGGGGGGGGGGGCAACGCGCGGCCGGCCCCCCCCAGGGTCGCCTCGACAGGCGACGGGAGTTGGGCCGGGGCAGGTCGGGGCCGGGGCAGGTCGGGGCCGGGGCAGGTCCGGGACGGGGCAGCAGGGGCCGCGCACGGCTCCCCTGGGCAGCGCGACGGGGCAGCAGGGCCGCGCGACGGGGCAGCAGGGGCCGCGCGCGGCTCCCCTGGGCAGCGCGACGGGGCAGCAGGGCCGCGCGACGGGGCAGCAGGGGCCGCGCGCGGCTCCCCTGGGCGGCGCGACGGGTCCCCGTCGCCCGTCGCAGCGCCTCCCGGGGGCGACGCGGCGAGTGACGGGGCAGAAACCCGTCGCGCGCCTCGGGGCGCACGGCGGGCAGAAAACCGCCGCGCGCCTCGGGGCGCACGGCGGGCAGAAAACCGCCGCGCGCCTCGGGGCGCACGGCGGGAAGAAAAACTGCCGCACGCCACGGGGCGTGCGGCACAGAGAGTAGCAGTAGCAGTTGCAGCGGAAGCAACAAGGTGGTGAGCCCACCCACTGGATCGATCCAAGGGGATCGACCTGCTCTGATAGCATGTTAAAGTTTAGAAGAAAGAAGAGGATTGCACTAGCAAGAATGGGGATACAAATAGCAAAACCCTAGAAGAGTTGTACTCGCTATAGAGCACCCCACTACAGGCTAGAGCATAATATTCTGACAGAGACTTCACCGAAACTTTCGCTCCGGTCAGTCGACACACTTCGCTCCGAATCCTCCTCGCGATCGCCGCCATGAAGAAGAAGAAGCTGCGGCAAATCGACGTCGCAAACGCATTCCTCTACGCACCTGTTGACGCAGAAATCTTCGTCGAATTACCGCACGGCTCCAACGGTGAGCCCAATCAAGTCTGTCAGCTGCTGAAGTCGCTCTACGGCATCAAGCAAGCTCCGCGGCTATGGCAACAATACCTGCACGCTCGCCTCATTCGCATCGGCTTCAAACAACTACCGCATGATCAGGGCATGTACCGGCTCACAAAGAACACCGACTACATCCTGTTAATCGTCTACGTAGACGATCTACTCTACATCGGCTCGACCGACGGCATCACAACCTGGTTCGAAGGGGAGCTACAGAAGGACCTCACGCTCACGGTCTCATCTACCGTCACACAGTACCTCGGTCTCAACATCCGAGAAGAGGAAGACGTGATCCACCTCAGTGCCGCGAAATACGCAGACACCATCGCCAAGCGCTTCGCACTCACACCGATCGCCATCTCCACACCGTACCGCTACACGACAGGAAGCAGCAAGGGAAGCTCCGCTCTACTTAAGCCCGCCGGCATACGCGACTACCAAAGGAAACTGGGTTGCCTCCTTTTCGCAGCCGTCACCTGCCGCCCGGACCTATCGTACTCTGCAAGTCAGCTCGCCACCTACCTCAAGAAGCCTGAAGCGGAACATCTAGCTGAGCTCGACCGCGCTCTTCACTACCTCGTCAGCACCCCGACGATCGGCCAAACTTACTACAAGAACGCAACTACACCGCCTAAGTTAATCGGCTACGTCGACGCCGATCACGCTGGCGACTCCGACAACAGGCGCTCACGCACCGGCTACATCTACCGCCTCGAACCTATCGGGCCTATCTCTTGGCAGTCGAGCAAGCAGGAATTAATCGCCCTCTCGTCAGCTGAAGCAGAATACATTGCACTCTGTTCAGCCACCAAGGAAGGACTTTACCTTCGCGAACTGCTGGAAGAAGCGAAGCTGGCTCAGTTACCCAGCTTCACTCTGTTCTGCGACAACCAGTCGGCAATTCGCATTGCCAACAAGAACGGCTTCGCGAACAGGACGAAACACATCGCCCTGCGATATTTCTTCGTGAAGGACGAGATCGAGAAAGGGAGGCTCGAGCTGTCATACTGCCCCACGTCCGAGATGGCAGCTGACTACCTGACCAAGAAGCTCGGAAAGCAGAAGTTCGAATACTGCATGCTGCTGACTGGACAGAGCCACGTCACCAGCAGCGACACTCCAGAAGCGAAGGGGAGTGTTGGAAACAATCAATCTTAAAGCGCCTCTGTCGTGTCGAAACACTAAGGCACAAACAAAGCGAAGCATATCGAAGCACCGGCGAGTCAACCCTCGGAGGTTGAAAGTAACTGTTGGAGGTTACGCGAAAGTCAAAGGTCAGCGACCTTTGACCTGACAAAGTACAGCGCGACAGCAAGGACACACAACTGACTCGCTACAGAGCAGTTGCCCGAGTCGTCACTGTATCGAACCGCAACAGCAACAGTAAAACAGTTATAACTGTACCCCTTCATATTCCCTGTACTCTTATATAATCTTGTATCTCTCTGTTTTTAATCAATCAACTTTGCCCTCACATAGTAGCGCAAGGTGGTTCACAACTCTTCATTAAACGCATCCGCTATTACATCAGTCCTACCCAGAGTTCACCCCTGCAAAGATCCTAAGGGCTATCTTCTCATCCCAACACACTGAATGCACATTCCGCGTCCTTCCTGCAAAACACCCGAGATTACGAGGACTCCAACATTTCCGCATTAAAACGTATGGATATTTAAAACGTTGCACATATACAGCTTGAAATGTCTCAGCTGTCAGGTGAATTATCATCGGAGTGGAAGTCACCGGTTTGAGACCCTTCGCGTTGAGCTTTGTTGATACTTTATTGTTATCCAATATATAGTATGTGTAGAAATCAGGCTTTTGTTTTTAGGAACCCTGAAAATTCAGACTTTTTTTTCCTAGGAAGGAAGGCTGTCAATCAGCCTTTTTTTCACAGGGACACTGATGGATCAGGGTCATTAAAATTGAATCTGAGTGCTACCGGTCCATCCCTACAATGACTAAAATCAATTAACTCTAGAAATAGAGAGTTGAAATGCTTTTCTATCTACCTATTATATACAACTACCAAAAAGGGCTACCAGTCCCAACCCCCCCTTCAACCCATATGCACATGCACTTGAAGCAACCTCCAATACTGTCGATACGTAACCCCCGGTTGCACCTGCATTTCAGACACCATCTCCACTCAATGGAATTCTGCTCCTTCAAAGCCTCAATGGAATTCCTATCAATAAACCAATAAATTATGACCCCTTCTAAGGCGGCTTTCATCACTGTGTACCACCACCATCTGGTATGTCTTCCTCAATTCCTCCTCTATCACCATCCCCCATGCTCTCCACCCTCATAATCTGCTCCTCCAACGTCTCTCCCACACCAATCGCCAGCTCAGAGTCAATCCTGACCGCTCGTTCGTCCACATCGCCACCTGTCAACTCAGCACGCATCGCCTTGAGATCTCCAATAATCCGCATTATATCCGGCCGCGTTGCGGTCGGCATGGCCGTACAGCTCAGCGCCAGCTCAGCGAGGCGGAGGATGAGGTCAGCAGGTCCCTCGAGGCGAGGATCTTTGAAGGATGCCACCTCATGGGCAGCAACTAGAGGTGCCACCTGAGAGGGACAGGGGAGAGATGAGTGAGAGGGTTGTGGGATAAAAGCTCATTCACCACTCTTTCAATGCGCCTCAAGACAAACTAGATTTGAGGTTGACTGGAAGTCAAATCACCCATGCTTTGAGGTTGACTGGAAGTCAACTCACCCATGCTTTGAGGTTGCCTGGAAGTCAACTCACCCATGCTTTGAGGTTGACTCTCCCCGTGTCACGCTGGTCGCGCACTGCATGTTGTGCTGTTATCACCGCGAGCATCACCACTCCGAAGCTGATGATGCACAATGGGAACACACAGCAAGGTTTGAGACGTCTCAAAAGCACATGAGCAATGGGAATGCATGGCAAGGGGCACATGTAGGGCAAGGGGCACATGCAGGGCAAGGGGCACATGCAGGGCAAGGGCCACATGCAGGGCAAGGGCCACATGCAGGGCAAGGGGCACACTGTGACTTGAAATAAGCTGGGTGTCCACCTCTCCCATGCACACCTTACAGGACAACTCCGGCTCGCACCGCTCTCTACCACTCTGCACCGCTCTCTTCAGCTCTATACCACCCTCAACAGCTTTGTACCACTCTCTACCGCTCTGTCCTGTGCACATCTGCCATCGGGGTAGCTTTCTGTGACTTGAAGTAAGCGGGGTCCACATAGCCCGGTGTGCCCATCACTCCCATGCACTCTCCTTTACAGAATAACACAGCTTGCACCGCTCTACACCACTCTGTACCGCACTGCACCGCTCTGTACCGCTCTCTATCTCTACCTGTGCACGTCAGCTGTTGGTGTGGCCTTCTGGGACTTGAAGTAAGCGGGGTCCACATAGCCTGGTGTGCCCATCACTCTCATGGTCTCCCTTACAGGACAACACTGGCTTGCACCACTTTGTACTGCTCTGCACCGCTCTCTACCACTCTGTACCGCTCGGTACTGCTCTTTACCTGTGCACATCCGCCATGGAAGTAGCCTTCTGTGACTTGAAGTAAGCAGGGTCCACATAGCCCGGTGTGCCCATCACTCTCATGGACTCCTTTACAGGAAAACACCGGCTTGCACTGCTCTGTACCGCTCTCTACTACTCTGTACCGCTCTGCACCTGTGCACATCTGCCATCGGGGTAGCTTTCTGTGACTTGAAGTAAGCAGGGTCCACATAGCCCGGTGTGCCCATCACTCTGGTGTTGCCCACTGTGCTGCCCTCTCCCTCCCTCAGCAGCCCAAAGTCAGCGATTTTAGCCTGTTGGGGGGTAGAGGGGCCGGGGAGTGAGGGTGCCATGAGTAGAGAAGGCAAGACAAGGGCCAGCCGGCCAGGTAAGGTGGTGTGTCTGTATCCAATCGGCTCAAGTCACTCAAGTGGCATCCACAATGGTGCCGGTAACGTACTCTGCGGTAACGAATAAGTGTAAATATATATATATATACATATATTATTAACTTATATATAACTATATATATATGTAACATACGTATCACACCTGCATCTTGCTGTCAAGGAGGATGTTGGCGGGTTTGATGTCGCGATGCACGATGCCAAAGCTGTGCAGATAAACTCTATCCCCCCCTTCCCCCTCTATCTACCTACCCACGTTCATTCACCAGCACCGGCTTACATTCATCTTGCCGTCCAGCAGGATGTTGGCGGGTTTGATGTCGCGATGCACGATGCCAAAGCTGTGCAGATAAACTCTATCCCCCCCTTCCCCCTCTATCTACCTACCCACGTTCATTCACCAGCACCGGCTTACATTCATCTTGCCGTCCAGCAGGATGTTGGCGGGTTTGATGTCGCGGTGCACGATGCCAAAGCTGTGGAGGTACTCTATCCCATGGGCAGCGCCGATGAGAATGTTCACACGCTCCAGCAGGGAGAGCGGCTTGGGTGCCTCTGATGGACAGGGGTGGGGAGGAGGGAGAGTAAGGAGCATACCGTGAAGGCTCAGACTTATGAAGCTGTGCAGACACTCTATCCCATGGGCGGCACCGATGAGAATGTTCACTCGCTCGAGCAGGGACAGCAGCTTGGGTGCCTCTGATGGAGCAAGGAGGGTGGAATTATGGAGCACACACTGAAAGTACACATATTTACACAAAAAAGGTGGAGAAGGTATATAGCCCAGATCCCATAACAGAGGTAGGCTTAACGCCAACAGGGGCTTACAGTCTTTGATCCAACGGTCGAGATCTTACCGTCTCCGATCCAACGGTCGAGATCGCCGTTCTCCATGAACTCATACACCACCACCTGCTCCATCTCCTCCGTGCCCGCGTTGAAGTCGATGCAGAACCCCAGCAGCCTCACCAGGTTGGGGTGGTGCTTCGATGCCATGGCGTTCACCTGGTGAAATGAGATGAGATGAGATGAGAGAGTAAGGGAGAGTGTGAAATACGGAGAAACAGTGAGCGAGGATGCGAACCTAGTGACCACCCCACCCCAACCAGTCGGTGCAGAACCCCAGCAGCCGCCACACCACTGCCAATGCTGGGTGCCCTGTGCTGCCCACCCCAACCAGTCGGTGCAGAACCCCAGCAGCCTCACCAGGTTGGGGTGGTGCTTTGATGCCATCGCATTCACCTGGTGTGGGATGGGAAGGGGTGCAGTGCGGTGCTGCTGGTTTCATGCCTATGCAGAACCCGAGCAGTCTCACCAGGTTAGGGTGGTGCTTTGATGCCATCGCATTCACCTGGTGAAATGAGACAAGAGTATGGGAGAATGGGGAAGACGGAGAGACTCTGAGCGAGTATGCCCACCTGCTGACCACCCCAACCAGTCGGTGCAGAACACCAGCAGCCGCACCAGGTTGGGGTGCAGTGCGGTGCTGCTGGGTTCATGTCCACGCAGAACCCCAGCAGCCTCACCAGGTTCGGGTGGTGCTTCGATGCCATGGCGTTCACCTTAGTGAGGACTCGAGCGCGCTTCACGGCCCACACAACATTCGGATCACTCAGGCACACACCACGGTACACGCCACCAAAGCCCCCACCCAAGCCGCTGCCAATGCTGGGCGCACTGTGCTGCTCAACTCTCTCTGAAAGTCCTTGGTGACGACTTGAGCGCGCTTCACGGCCCACACAACATTCGGATCGGTCGGGCAGGCGCCCAGGTACACATCACGTGGTGCAGTGCGGTGCTGCTGGGTACAGTGTGCATACCTCTCTCTGAAAGTCCTTGGTGAGGACTCGAGCGCGCTTCACGGCCCACACAACCCCGGGATCAGTCGGGCACACCCCCCGGTACACGTCACCAAAGCCGCCGCTGCCAATGAGATTGCGATCCGCCCAGTTGGCAGTGGCGCGTGCCACGTCAGCAAGCGCGTAGCGCTGACACACTTGCGGTGACGTGTCCGCTGCTGGCCCGGCGCTGGTGTGGCTGCTGTGGCTGCGGCTGTGGCGGCGATATCCTGTGGGAGAACAAAGGCGTTGGGAAGGGGGGAAATGTATTTAAGGCGCCTCAAAAATCGTCTCAGAAATCTTTCGAGGCGCCTAAAAAACTGCGGCTGCGGCGGCGATATCCTGTGGGAGAACAAAGGGGCCCAGAAGACGGGGAAGACAAAAACACTTTTTGGTCGGCTTAAAAAAAGCGGCGGGTGAACAAGGGGACCGGGAAGTGGGGAACGTGGAGGCACAGGGGGGAAGAAAATGAAGGGAGGCAATGGGATGGATGGAGTTTCAAGAATGCCGACTTTTGAGAGCCGTTTGAGACGTCTCAAAAGCCGTCTCCTTACATGTTGTAGGGGAGCCATGGGATGGAGTCGTGTTTTGAGTCGACTCACTATGGGATGGAGTCGTGTTTTGAGTCGACTCACTATGGGATGGAGTCGTGTTTTGAGTCGACTCACTATGGGATGGAGTCGTGTTTTGAGTCGACTCACCATGGGATGGAGTTCTTTTCATTTTTCGACTCAGTATGAAGGAGGAGGAGGAGGAGGAGGAGGAGGAGGAGGAGGAGGAGGAGGAGGAGGAGGAGGAGGAGGAGGAGGAGGAGGAGGAGGAGGAGGAGGAGGAGGAGGAGGAGGAGGAGGAGGAGGAGGAGGAGGAGATGTGTGTGCTTAATTGTGCTGCCGCCCCAAGCAGGGTGTATCTAAGAAATTTAAAAAGGCAACCTTGATTGAAGACATGCGTGCATTAGTGGGGCTTGTGCTGCCCCAACCCTGTTGGCCTTTGAGAATTCTCAGAGGCACCCTGGGGACATGAAACCACATAAAATCCGTGTGTAATGAGTCGTGTTTTGAGTCGACTCAAAACACGACTCAGAGGCACCCTGAGAACATGAAACCACACAAAAAGCCTGGCGGACTTTTGAGTCGACTCAAAAGTCGCCTCGGACATGGAAACACACAAGAAGCCTGGCGGATCCAATGCATGCTGTCTTCTGCACTCTTTGCGTCGATTCTGGCAATCGCATCAAATCAAATCACCACCTCCGAAGAATTCTGAAGTGATCTCTAACAAATTGAGGTTATTTTTGAGTTGACTCAAAAGGCCACCTCAACTCACCACCTCCAAACAACCCCAGCCGCCATCGCTGCCCTTGTCCCGAAGGCCCTGCTCCCGCCGTCCCACCACCCCTCACCCTCCCACACCCCCCCTCCCCCTCCTCTCCAATGCCTTTTGGGTCAACTGCGGCACTCAAATCAACTCAACTCACCGCCTCCAAACAATCCAGCTGTCATCGCTGCCCTTGTCCCGAAGGCCCTGCTCCCGCCCCCCCCTCTGTGTTGCAAGCACGGGAGAATACTCCCCCCGCACGCAGCACCGGTAGCACCGGTAACTTTTGAGAACCCTCAAAAGTGACACACTGCCTCCGAACCATCCAGCTGCCATCGTTGCCCTTGTCCCGAAGGCCCTGCTCCCGCCCCCCCCTCTGTGCTGCAAGCATGGCAGAACCCCCCGCGCATGCATCACCAGTAGCACTAGCAGCTTTTGAGAATTCTCAACAGTCAACTCACTCACCACCTCCGAACCATCCAGCTGTCATCGTTGCCCTTGTCCCAAAGGCCCTGCTCCCCCCCCTCCCTCTGTGCTGCAAGCATGGCAGAACCCCCCGCGCATGCATCACCAGCAGCATCGCCACCACCAGTAGCAGCAGCACAACAGCAACAGCAATGCCGACAATGGCTCCCGTGGAAAGAGAGGAGGAGGAGGAGGAGGAGTAGGGGGGGGAGGATGGGGAGTTTGGATCAGGTGCTAGTGGTGGTGACGGTGGCACAGGCGGGGGGTTCGTGGATGGAGGGTTGGGAGCTGAGCTTGAGTTATGGATGCACTGGGAGCACAAGTCAACACAGGCCTGGCAGAACCCGGTGCTTGTAGCTTGCTTCACCACACAATCGGCACCAGCTGTCGGGCACGACAGCCCTGATTGGTCGAAGCTTCTGCTTGGGGAGAGACAAAACAACTTAGAAAATGAGAAATATAAATATGTATTAAAAAAATATTAAATTTTTATGAAATGCGCGTGTGCATGCTTGCGCAATCCATTCTTACAGGAGAGTCAGATTCGTAAGTCGACCCAGAACGGGTGGGAGGGATCCTGTGAAGTTGTTTTGACCCAAATACCTGTGCTTGTGGCATGCACGCACCATGCATGTGTGTGAGCCATGCACCATGCGAGTTTGTGAGCCATGCACCATGCATGTGTGTGTAAAGCATGTGCCATGCATGTGCCACATAGCATGTGTGCTATGCAGAACACGAGAATACCAAACACGGAAAGATATAAGGTAACAACATTCAGAGGCTTAGGGGTTTTGAGACATACAGACAGAGGACGGAAAGGTATGATGTGATGAGATAAGAACGTACAGAGGAAGGAGAGGTATGAGATGAGATGAGATGAGGTAACAACAACGTACAGAGGAAGGAGAGGGTATGAGATGAGATGAAATGAGGTAACAACAACGTACAGAGGAAGGAGAGGTATGAGATGAGATGAGGTAACAACAACGTACAGAGGAAGGAGAGGTATGAGATGAGATGAGATGAGATGAGATGAGATGAGATGAGGTAACAACAACGTACAGAAGGAGAGGTATGAGATGAGATGAGATGAGATGAGGTAACAACAACGTACAGAGGAAGGAGAGGTATGAGATGAGATGAGATGAGATGAGATGAGGTAACAACAACGTACAGAGGAAGGAGAGGTATGAGATGAGATGAGATGAGATGAGATGAGATGAGGTAACAACAACGTACAGAGGAAGGAGAGGTATGAGATGAGATGAGATGAGATGAGATGAGGTAACAACAACGTACAGAGACTGCAGGGCAGCCAAGGACGCCACACTAGAAGACAAAGATCCAGACAGAAGGTTCCCAGAAAGTGACCTGCAAGACATCCCAATGAAGAAGACCCGACCGCACAGGTCAACTTGAGGCTGCCAGAGTTGGAGGTGGAGGTTCTACATATATACATATATACATATATACGTATATACATATATACATATATACATATATACATATATACATATATACATATATACATATATAATATTAATATACATTAAAAAAAAGTGTCACAATTAGCTTTGAAATGAAAACGAGTACGAAAACAAGCAAACAGACAAACTTCCGGGGCACCTAAAGAATCACCTTACTTGGAATTGAGACTGCCCGAACAAAGCTTGTTTTCATCAGCGACTCACAGGGATCGCAGAGCAGAGAGGCCGTAGAGGCGGTTGGGAATGCTGCCTGCCAAAGTGTTGCTGCTGAGGTTTCTAGTGTGTGTAAGTAAAGGTGAAGAAAACACAGACACATTGCTGCTGAGGTTCATATCATAGTGTGTGTGAAGTGAAGGTGAAGAACACATGGGCACGTGTGGAGAATACACAGAAACGTATGAAGAACACCGGGAAAAGCATCTACCATAACAAATAATAAAGGTCCAATCAAATCCCGTTTCGATACAACAATTTAAGCAGGTTAGTAAAAGTTGTTGCATTCAACAAAAACGGGTGCAGCGTCTAAACCCCAACAAAAAAGGTTACACTATGGCTATTACAATTCAACAAGGTTGGCAAGGTTGCCAATGGATACTGGAATCGACCCATCAAGCTGGTTGCCTGAGAGGTCCCTGCCGGTCAGGCACCATGAATTCGGAAACGCAGGCAGAAAACAAGTCGCAGGCGCCATAATGAAGGTTCGACACACCAACGATACATAAACCGTTGAATCGAGGTAGCATATGCAGGAGACCCAAGAAAAAAAACATGAAGCTCTGCTTCTTGTGATGTTCTTTGATTTTGTGCTTACACTGCAGACCTTCGAATGAGTCTGAACAGCAGGCAGCTAGAAGCTACCAGTCTACCTACCCGTCTCACACCTGTTGCACCGCCAACCTACAAGAATGCGAGTTCACTGAGTTGGGATATGCCTCCTGGGATTCGACCTCTTACTCTATTTCCAGTCAAGTTCCTGCCACCACGATCAGAGGAATGAGTGCACAGGAAGAAGCATCCAAGGAATAAATTATTATTAAAAGGCAGCGGCAGTGCATATCCACGAATCATTCCTCACAATGTGAAGTAAAATTACATACTTTTCGCGACACCTCATATTTATAATCTGACATAGGGCGTCTCTCAACTAGCAAAAAGGGGATACTACGTATCAATCAGAATAGAATGGTCCAAAATCCAGAGAATGGAATGAATGTCATCAGGATTGATTCATAGAAGAATAACTGGCGGACTCACAAGTATGAGATGCCAGAAAGGAAAGTGAGTGAGCTCCATTGGCAGGGTTCCATCCTGTGATGGGTCGTTTTTGTAATAGACTAAAATAGCCTTACTTACATGTATGAAATGGCAGAAAGAAAAGTGAGCTCCATTGGCAATGTGCCGTCCAAGGCGTTGCTCCCAAGATGACTGAAGAGAGAGAGAGAGAGAGAGAGAGAGAGAGAGAGAGAGAGAGAGAGAGAGAGAGAGAGAGAGAGAGAGAGAGAGAGAGAGAGAGAGAGAGAGAGAGAGAGTGCACAGACAGGTGTGTTTTGAGTCGACTAAAAAACACACGGGTATGAAATGGCAGAAAGAGGAAAGTTAGATCCATGGGCAATGTCCCATCCAAGGCGTTGCTCCCAAGATGACTGAAGAGAGAGAGAGAGAGAGAGAGAGAGAGAGAGAGAGAGAGAGAGAGAGAGAGAGAGAGAGAGAGAGAGAGAGAGTGCACAGACAGGTGTGTTTTGAGTCGACTAAAAAACACACGGGTATGAAATGGCAGAAAGAGGAAAGTTAGATCCATGGGCAATGTCCCATCCAAGGCGTTGCTCCCAAGATGACTGAAGAGAGAGCGAGAGAGAGAAGGGGTTCTCGAGACATTCGTTTTGTGTTCTCAGTTTCGGCGGCTCGAGAGAGCGAGAGAGAAGGGGTTAGCTCTCAGCCCAATGCCTCTGCCCTCTGCCCTCGGCCCTCTGCCCTCTGCCCTCTGCCCTCTGCCCTCTGCCCTCTGCCTCTGAGCCTATTTAAGGGCTTCTAGTGCCCTGCCCTCTTCATTATGTTTTTTGTGTTCTCAGTTTCGGCGGCTCGCGCCGGCGGCCTTCGGCCGCGCATCTCGGGTGGCAAGACACAAAACGGGTGGAAGTTCAAGAAAGGCACAGAAAACGAACACACGCATGCAAGTGGGGGACTATGCCTAAGGGACAATATGCAGTTCTATACAAGGCGACCCTCTACTGCGTATACGGACCAGCCCCCTTTGTCTCAAGCATCGAGCGCAAGCACCCTGCCACCACAAGGAGCAGCTGCGCCGAGGCGTGAAGGGTGTCAACCGGGGTCCCGTCCCGCGCAGCCCCAACCAGATCCAGGACGTGGCGGGGGAAAGTACGAGCTAAGGGCGCTGCCCCGGCGGGCGCTTCCGACACGGGCGCTAAGAGGGGGGCAAGGGCTTCTGCCCATGCGACGCACGATCCTTGGGGCCCTAGAGCGAAATTGCTTGGAGTGTTCTGCATGGCCTCATACACCGCCATCTGCAGGCTGGCCACCCCCTCACACGCCTCCGCCAGATTCCACATCCGGCACATGCTCAGCGTGGGATCTCTCCCCGCGCTGCTGGGGGGAAGTAGAGTCTGTACTTCGCGCTGAGGATACGCCGCCGCGCGCACGGGGGCGCGGCAAAACGGATACTGAAATCCAGAGAAGCCCGGGGCCTGGCGAGGAGAGCGGAACGGCGCCCTCACCCCTCCAGCTGGCATGTACCCGCGCAGGGTCGGCGCCTGCACTGGAGCCGCCTCAGCAGCAGCAGACGCAAGGGGGGGATCGGTGGTCACAGCCACATGAACACGCGACCCCTCTCCTCCTGCCTGCGCCTGTAGCACAGCTTCCGCAACCATGCTCACCACGCGGTCCACGGCAGAGCCCTGGCCGCGCCCAGCCCTGCCACGCCCAGAGCCATTACGCCGCCCGCGGCGGCCCCCAGAGCCCGCTGACGGAGGACGTGGCGGGCTCAGTTCCCGGCGTCCCCCCTCCCAGCGGCGAGCTGGAGAACCACGGCCCCGACGTGCCGGCGAATGTCGCGGCGTCCGATGCGCAGGCGACCTCGCCCGCGGCGAGCGTTTCTCAGGGGACGTGTGGTCAGGCGGCCGACGCTGAGGAGATCGGTGGTGGGGATCGTGACGCACCGGGGACCACCGATCATCCTCCCACTGACGACGGGGCCCGCGCGGCTCAGGCGAGCGGTGTTGGGGAGACGTGTGCCGAGGAAGATGGCGTTGCGGGGACCGGCCGCGCTCCTGACGCACGGGGGCCGCGTTCGACGCAACGCGAGCAGGGGCCCGCGAGTACTCGGGAGAGGCGGGTCGTGCCGCCCCACGAAGTGGAAGAGACAGCCCGCGCACTCGGTGACGCACGGGCTCACTTGTGGCGGGACGCGCCGCGACAAGGGCACGCGGTGGAGCTGGCTCCGGAGGCCGGGGCGCCTCAGGCTGAGCGCTCTCCGCGGTTCCCTCCAGAGCGTGGTCGCGACCCACGGACGCTGCCATCACGACCGAGGCGTGAACCGAGGACGCCAGAGCCTCAACATACGGCGGAGCCCAACGACGAAAATCGGACGCCAAGGAGACGCAGCCCCGCTGCGCCGAGAGGTACCCCGGGAGGACGACGCGGAAGCGGGAGGGGGCGACGAGGGGGGAGAACTCACAGGGGGAACACGCGGCGTACTGGCGCTAGCAGCTATGCTAGAGCTGCTGAGAGGATCCTTCGGGAGCGCGGAGGCACTTGGGGACGAGGAGAACTTAGGAAGTGGGAATGACGAGAGTGACGGGGGTGACCCCGGTTTTAACCCTGAAAGGGAGGGGAGTTCAAACCCTTTGACCGAGGAGGAAGAAGGGGTCCTCCCCCAAGGAGGGGAGTTCCCCAACCAGCAGAGTCGAGCTGCATCTGCAATTCGAACCCCAGCCAGAAATCGAGCCGCGGGGGGAAACCGAGCCGCGACAATTAATAGAAACCCACCAGCCCAAACCCCCACCCCGCCCATAATCAAACCTGACGACCTGATGAAAAGGCAGGACCTATTCGCCCTCGTCGCAGCTTGGGACCTGGACCCACTTCGCGACAGCCGTCAGCCTCCTCTCGCCCGCCACCCACCACGCGACCTTCGCGAGGCCTTCGCGGCCTGCCTCCTGACACCTCTGCTTCACCTGGCGGCCAATCCCGACTCTGCACCTGGCTGGAGGTTACTCACCTTCCTCCCGCGAATTTTACTTCGCACCTCGTCAGCGCGCAAGCCCGACTGGAACGCGATGATGAATCGCCTACTCCGTTTTCGCCAAGGCTTCTGGGCCAGCCTATACGACGAAGCTGTACAGGCAATTTCACTCCCACCCCAGCCACGCCACGTGCCTGACACCACGGGAATTCTCGCCAGAGCGGAGGGCCTGGCGAAACGTGGCAATTTGTCAAAGTCGCTACAGTCCCTCCAAGCTACACCAGTCTCACCGGCTTCCCCTGATGTGCTCGATGCCTTAGCGGCGAGACACCCTCCCGCCCTCCAAGCTCTGCCTGACTGGGTGCACTCCTTCGCCACTGAGCACGCGCATGCAATTGAAGCCCGCGACTTCAATCGCATCATAGCGAAGCTCCCAAACGAAGTTGGGGCGGAGCCCTCGGGAACAACATTCGAACACATTCGTGACATTTGGGAAATCACGACATTTTCAATCACCTCCTAGCACTCACCAACACAGCGCTGGCAGGTAAACTGAAAGCAGACGCGGCGGACCTTCTCACCGCCTCTCGCCTCTTAGCCTTCACGAAGCCGCAGGGCGGGACGAGACCTATAGCGGTGGGCGAATGCCTGGTGCGTATTATCGCCAAGGCGGCCCTTTTCCTGACGGCACCAGCACCACGAACTCACTTCGCCCCCCTTCAGTATGGTGTGGCGATCGCGGGTGGGATTGAGGCTGCTATTCATACAGCACGTACGTACCTGGAGGTGTACCCAGACGAGGTGGCTCTGCAAATCGATCTCGCCAACGCCTTTAATGCGGTCGAGAGGGCGGCGGTCTTCGAAGGGTTGAGGTGTTAGGAAGCATGGTGCGCCTATTCCGTCTCTCCTATGGGGCACCCTCCTCGCTACACCTTGACCATGACTTCGGCTCGGCCCCCCTGCAGAGCGCTAGAGGAGTTCGCCAAGGGGACCCGCTTGGCCCCCTGCTCTTCGCGGCGAGCATCCATCCCTGCCTGGTGGCCACAGCTGCGGCCCACCCGCAGGTGGTGATGCTCGCCTATGCGGATGATACTACACTGCTCGGCGAGACATCAGCCTGCAACACAGCCTTCTCGCACCTCTTGAGTCGACTCAAAAGTCAGATCGTTTTGAGTCGACTCAAAGGTCAGCTCGGCGAGACATCAGCCTGCACCACAGCCTTCTCGCACCTCACGTCTGCGCTCGGCAACCTAAGCATGGTTGGTGCACAACCTGGGGAAGTGCGAGGCCTGGTCTGCATCTACGGTTGACCCCTCCTCTCTCCCGCCTGGCATCCCCATCTCGGCAGAGGGCCTCCAGATCCTCGGAAGCCCCATTGGCTCGGTCCCAGGCTGCGCCAGCCGGGTTAGGGAGAGACTAGCGGCGGCAGCGGAACCGCTCCCGCTCCTGTCCCAAATGGACCCCCAACTCAGCCTGCTCCTTCTCACCCGTTGCGTTAGCCGCCGTGCCTCGTTCCTGGCCAGAACAACCCCTCTAGCGGTGCTGCCAGAAGCCGAATGGTCAGCATGGGGAGAGCAGCTGCTGCACACATTCCTGGACGCTGCCCACATCTTAATCCCAAGGAGCGAAGTGGAAAAAAGGCGGATTTGGCGGCAGGCAGTGCTGCCAGTGACGCTTGGGGGGCTCGGCATCACAGACCCCGCAACTGAAGGAAGCTACGCATACCTGGCTTTGGTTATCGACACCTCCCAACTCCTCCAGTCGCTCTTCGACTCGCTCCACCCCGCGGTAGCAGGCCTCCTCCCCCTAATGGACTCCATCCCGGACTCCGCAGCCGCACTCCCCGCGCGCCTCGCAGCGGCAGAAGCGGCCCTCCCCCCTGGAGGCCTTGGAGGTCCTTCAGGCGGGAAAGGGGGACCCCAAGGGTCTCAAACTGCAGCAGTCGCTCGCCCTGGCAGTGCACACCCACCGCTTCATCCGGGTACTGAATGAAGCCAGGAGGATGCGTCCTAACCCCCTCTCCAGCCACGCTCAGCAAATGCAGTCAGTCCTGGGCCCCGGAGCAGGAGACTGGCTGCTGGCGATACCTTTCATCCCAGCCCTCCGTTTGGGCCCCTCCCAGCTATCAACAGCGGCAGCTTTCTGCCTAGGCCTCCCCTTGCCGGTCCCTAGGCGATGTGACTGCCGATACCGCACCACCTTCCCTGACGACCGACTCCCCAACCACCTCATGCGCTGTTCGAAAGGGAAGGGGAGGATAGCCACTCACCATGCCCTTCAGGACGAGATCGCACGCATCGGGGCTGTGGCGGGTTTCACGGTGCACAAAGAGACTTACGTGTACTCCCTGGTTGAGAACCTAAAGGCGGATGTCACCATCCGTCATCCCCTGACCGGAGAGGTTTGGATGTCGACGTCTCCGTGACGGACCCCGTCTCATACCAAGACGAAAACTGCAATCGTGCACCAGGGTGGGCGGCTATGGCGGCAGCAGCGAGGAAGGGAGAAAAGTACGCTCGTAGGAACGCATGGGTGGGCTTCTTCCACGCTCTGGCGGTGGAAACCTATGACTACCCTTCGCCGGGGGTGCACGCCTACCTGCGGCCGTGCGCCAAGCTAGCGGCGAAGCTTCGCTACAACGCCGATCCGACCTCCTTTGAAGCGGCCAAGCTACTTACCGAGTACCGCCAGCGCTGGAGTGTCACTCTCCAGCGGGCACAGGCCAACACCCTCCGCTCCAAGACCAACGAGGCCTTGGCTGAGGACGAGCTCGGCATGCAAGGACCGTTTGCCCCTCTTAGTGAGGGGCAGCTGCACTAACTGATAGAGCCCCCGTTCGACCACTAGGGTCGGACAAAGGGGGCGGGAGGGGGTAGGTGATGCTGGGGTAGGTAGGAAACTGGTATGTTTGTCTTGCATGTGTTTGCATCTACCTTGTAATACCCTATAATGAATGCAAGGACCGTTCGAGAGAGCGCAGACAGGTGTCTTTTGAGTTGACTCAAACACACACAGGTATGAAATGGCAGAAAGAGGAAAGTCAGTCTCATTGGCAATGCTCTGTCATTTAGCCCTGGCTCAAGTTCAGTTCAGGTCTTAAAAAACAAAATCTTACCCACCCACAGCCCACAGCAAGGCGTTTCATGTTAGCAAGAAGTTTCCCAAAATTGGGAAGGGGATTTTTTCATGGTTTAGCGTTACAGTGAGGCTCGTTCCAGTGAGGCTCACTACACTGAGGCTCGTTACAGTGAGGCTCGTTACACTGAGGCTCGTTACAGTGAGGCTCGTTACAGTGAAACGCGTTACAGTGAAACTCGTTACAGTGAGGCAAGGCTGGTCAGAAGGCCGAGCGTGGGAGGAATTAAGCCCTCTAAGTTGTTGCCGCTCAGATTTCTGGTGCTCAGAGAAAGGGATGGGATAGGAAGCATGCATGCATGGATGGATGGGGCATGCATGGATGGATGGGGCATGCATGGATGGATGGGGCATGCATGGATGGATGGGGCATGCATGGGTGGACGGGGCATACATGGATGGATGGAAGGGGCATGCATGGATGGAAGGGGCATGCATGGATGGATGGGAGGGGCATGCATGGATGGAAGCGGCATGCATGGATGGATGGAAGGGGCATACAAGGATGAATTGTGCATGCGTAAGAGAGCATGAGAGAGCGTGAGAGAGCCTGGGAGAGCGTAAGAGAGCATGAGAGAGCGTGAGAGAGCCGTACAGAGCGTGAGAGCTAAACCAAAGCTTCCAGGTATGTGACTGCTGAGAGGATAGCGACGAGAGGTAAGGTTGTGAGCAAGACTTGCGAAGGCCCATAAGAGAGCATGAGTGAGGCGTGAGAAACGAGAGGTAGTGGGTGCATGGGATTAGAAGGTGAATCCTGAATCGATTTTAAAAGCATGAGAGATGAGAGGGAGTGGTGCAGGATACCGTGTGAAGTGAATTAAATGGTATCATAGCGTACATCTGAGTAAAGTGTGGTGAATCCGTGAGAACAAAGAGACAAGTGCGTGTCCCCATGCTAAAAAGAAACAAAGTAACATAGAGATGAACCAAGCCTGCAAAGGATAAGTTATTGCGCGGTTTATGTGTACAAAATAAGAGATAAAACTTGAACATTAACATAAAACGTTAATCTTACACCGGATGTTATTTGAGCTTACAAGCTCGTTACTTGATTGGCCGAACCTAAAGACTGGGGAATGGAGCCATTCAGGTAGTTGTGACTTAGGTCCCTGCGCACACAAAAATGGTATCAGAACCTGGAAGATATTTGTTGTTTTTTTAGGCGTTTTAAAACTACACATGTAGTTGTGACTTAGGTCCTTGTGCACAGAACATGGGAATGGGTGGGGTGGAGTAAAAGTGCATAGGAATGGGTGGGTTGGAGTAAAGTGCATGCGAATGGGTGGGGTGGGGTACAAGTGCATGGGAATGGGTGGGATGGGGTATAAGTGCTTGCGAATGGGTGGGGTGGGGTACAAGTGCATGCGAATGGGTGGGTCAGAAGAGGGTGCAGCGTGAAAATGTATGAACAGACAAGCATGGATCAACACAGGTGCCTATAGGAAGTCGAGGGTGCTTATCAAGGAGATCCCTACAGGGACTCGAGGCTGCTTATAAAGGAGATCCCTACAGGGACTCGAGGCTGCTTATAAACGAAATCCCTACAGAACTCGAGGCTGCTGAGAGTGAAGATGGCCTTGGGATGGAGCCCGCACTAAGGCCAAGGTGCTTAACAAGTTTCTTAGAGCAATACCAGAGTCGTTCAAAGGGCTGTGGGAAAACTCCTAAGTCGACTCTATAAAGGGGATCTCTACAGGGACTTGAGGGTGGTGAGAGTGAAGATGGCCTTGGGATGACTTTTGAGTCGACTCAAATTCACCTCGTGGAGATGGCCTTGGGATGGAGCCCGCACTAAGGCCAAGGTGCATAAAAAGTTCTTAGAGAAATCCGTGAGTCGTTCAAAGGGCTGTGGGAAAATTTCTAAGTCGACTCAAAGAAAGGAAAACCCTACAGGGACTTGAGGCTGGTGAGAGTGAAGATGGCCTTTGGAATGGAGCCCGCAAGCCCAGAGCTGTTCAACGTGCTGTGGGCGGGATGGCAGGGAGGGAGGAAGGGAGTGAGGGAGGCAGGAAGTGAGGGAGTGAGGGAAGCAGGGACTTTGGGGCTGGTGAGAGTGAAGACGGCCTTGGGAATGGAGCCTGCAAGCCCAGAGTCGTTCAACGTGCTGTGGGGTGGGGGGGAAGGAGTGAGGGAGGGAGAAATGGAGTGAGGGAGTGAGGGAAGGGCACGGAGAGAGGGAGGGAGGGAGGGAGTGAGGGAGGCAGGGACTTGAGGCTGCTGAGAGTGAAGATGGCCTTGGGAATGGAGCCCGAAAGCCAAGATTTGTTTAAGGTGCTGTGGCAGGGATGGCCGGGAGGGAGGGAGGGAGGGAGGGAGGGGGGGAGGATCAAGTGACGGAGGAAGGGAGGGAGGAGGAAGTGAGGGGGGAAGGAAGGAGGAGGGAGTAAGGGAGGAAGGGAAGGGGAGGGAGTGAGGGAGGAAGGACGGGGGGAAGGAGGAAGGGAGAGTGAGGAAGGCAGGATGAGGCAGTGGAAGTGCAATTCCAGACTCTCTGAAAACTTATCGACGTTGGACCAACGACAGATCCCACCCCACCCCACCCCACCCCACCCCACCCCACCCCACCCCACCCCACCCCACCCCATCCCATCCCATCCCATCCCATCCCATCCCATCCCATCCCACCCCATCCCATCCCAACCCAGCAAGCTCACATGGACACAATCCCCCCGTCAGAGTCACACACGAGCCCCTGGGCTTCGATACAGTCACTCCCTGCCGCCCAGCCTGGAAAGGTCCGCCCCCAGGCCTGCTGACAGCTCTCCAGAACTCCGGCTGACGATGGGTGTGATGAGATGCAGAGTGCGTGCGGGCGGGTAGGGAAGGCAAGGCAGGGCGATGCATGCAGGGTGTTGGAAATGCAGCACGTTTAAGTAGTCTAGTAGAAAATGCAGACAACGCATAGAAGGTCCGCCCCCATGCCTGCTGACAACTCTCGAGCACTCCGGCTTAGAAGTATGCTGGGTGTGGTGCGATGCAGAGTGCGTGCGGGTAGGTGAAGCAAGGCAGGGAGCAGCTGGGCGGCATGAATGAACGAGGGAGAGCAGCTGGGCGGCATGAATGAACGAGGGAGAGCAGCTGGGCGGCATGAATGAACGAGGGAGAGCAGCTGGGCGGCATGAATGAACGAGGGAGAGCAGCTGGGCGGCATGAATGAACGAGGGAGAGCAGCTGGGCGGCATGGAAGGAAATATCTTGGGAAGGGTACCTTGGGATTCCCATAAAAGGGTACCATGAGAATACCTTGAGAAAGGGTACCTTGGGATTACCTTGGAAAAGGGTACCTTGGGATTGCCTTGGGAAAGGGTACCTTGGGATTCCCTTAAAAAAGGGTACCTTGGAATTCCCTTACAAGGGTGCCTTGGGAATACCTTGGGGAAGCGTACCTTGGAATTACCTTGGAAAAGGGTACCTTGGGATTGCCTTGGGAAAGGGTACCTTGGGATTCCCTTAAAAGGGTACCTTGGGATTCCCTTACAAGGGTGCCTTGGGAATACCTTGGGGAAGCGTACCTGGGAAAGCGGAAATCAGCTGAGCTGTAGCAGCAGCAGGGGCGGGGCCACATGACGACAAGACGAGTGTGAAGGAGAGCGACAGCCGTCGTTCTCCCAGGAAAACGGTACCGTGAAAGTACCTTGGGAAACGGTACCTTGGGAAGCGGAAATCGGCTGAGCAGCAGCAGCAGGACTGGCTGACAGGAAAGACGAGTGAGAAGGAGATCGCGAGCCCTCGTTCTCCCGGGAAAACGTTACCTTGAAAGTACCTTGGGAAACGTTACCTTGAAAGTACCTTGGGAAACGTTACCTTGAAAGTACCTTGGGAAACGGTACCTTGGGAAACGGTGCCTTGGAAATCAGTACCTTGGGAAGCGGAAATCGGCTGAGCAGCAGCAGCTGCAGGGGAGGGGACACGTGAAAGCAGGCCTGACGCGACGAGAAAGACGAGCGTGACGGAGAGCGACAGCCCTCGTTCTTCCCGACAGCGGTCGTGCCTCCGGTGCTTTCCAAAGGAGCCCATGCGGGAACGAGCCCTCCCGAGCGAGCCCTCGCGGAAACGAGCCCTCCCGTAAGAGCAATCGCGGGTAAAGCACAGCAAAGGTGTTAAGTCGTTCTTCTTCCCCGCGGGTGGCACCGTAAGGACAGAGAAACGTTCCTCCATACCGCCCGCCGTTACCACGTTGACAGCCACGGTAGCTCACTGGTCAAATAACCGGCCTAAGAACAAGCTAACTGGCTAGCTAAACGGCCTATCAAGCCCATTGGCTATCTAAACGGCTTCGTTACTACTACCTATCTCGTAGTCTAAACGGACCGATTGAAATTCCGCCATTCCGAGTGTGGTTATACGCCGTGGCTTCCGCTAGCTTTAGCCGTGTAAACCATGCTTCCACGAATGCGAAACTTAGCTCTTATTTGCGTTGGAAAACCATTCCTAAGACTTGTGTATGGCTTTTGAAGCCATCCGTTGTAGTCTAGGATATTCGGCTCTCACCCGAAAGACCCGGGTTCAAGTCCCGGCAACGGAATACTGTTTTCGTCCTCAACGCTCCCTCATGCATGAATGGAAGCAATTCTTCTTTCAAATGACGCTGGGTACAACTAGCTCATGTTTCCTCATGGATGGTGCAAGATGCACGCGGGATGATCGAGGCAACACCACTTACATGCCCATCCCATTTCTTTTTAAAACCTCATCCATACCCACTTCTCGTGCCCATATTTTTCCTGCTTTCTGTCAGAAGCTTGACCAAAGACCAGAATGTACCCCAGTAGAAAAATCTAAGCCTGGCTGGATATTAACCATCTGAACCGAGTGTACCGTTAAAAAGCAGTAAGTTTTTCATCAGACGTGAGAGAAATGGTGAATATTACATTTCTTTAGTTACATTTCCCTACGACCTTGAATGAGCGAATACAGAGCAGGAAAATTTCCATTAATCGTGAAGCTATCACAACAAATGGGCAGAACCTCCATAACGAGCCAACAAGTCCTGCTCATGAGACCAGTCACAACCACATTCCGCTGCAAACGGGGTTTCCTGCACCGACAACTGAAATACTAGGATCCCTGAAACCCGGAGAAACCGAAATGCACACGCAAAACCGCCAAAAACCCTCCTGAAAGCTCGCAGCAGCAGCTGAAAGCCTGCTATGACGCCAGCTCACATCCAGGCCAGGACTTTCAAGAGTGACAGTCCTCATGACGAGATGCCGAGAGATCGGAACACTTGACGAGCCCTCTTCTCCGACATCGGCCAATGTGACGCCTCGAGTCGCCGAAAATCGTCGGCACGACGAAATCTTCGACTAACGAAACCGTCGAGCTGGAAAACTGGCACATCTCACGCGATCCGCCACCAATCCTCTTCCCCCAACAAACAAACGAAAAACATACGCAGAACTCCGTAAAACCCCAAGTCTACTCAGCAGTAAAAACCGAAAAATGGCAGCTGATGGAAGAGAAAGGTAGACGCGGATTGAAGACATGAAGATGCGGCAGAAGTGAAGCGTTGAAGCGATGGAGCGATGAAGATGCGATACGAAGCAAGAGCTTCATCACTGGGCCCCCTGAGGGCAGTCACGGGCGATGTGGCCGGGCTGGTTGCACGTGTAGCAAGTACGGGGGGCACCGCCACCGGCGCCGCCGCCCACGGCAGGCGTCGGGCAGTCGCGAGCAAGGTGTCCGGGCATGTTGCAGTTGTAGCACACGCCGGGTCCGCCGCCGAACCGTCCGCCGCCGCGGCCGCCGCCGAAGCGTCCACCGCCACGGCCGCCGAAGCCGCCGCCGCCGAAACGGCCGCCACCGCCGCCGTAGCCGTCGCGCCTGGGAGCGCCCTTCACGTAGGATCCAGCCGGGCCGGTAACGTTAACGGCCTTGGTGCGGCCGTCCTCGCTGGTCTCGATGGTGAACTCGACGACCTCGTTCTCGTCGAGGCTGCGGAAGCCCTCCGCCTTGATGCTCGTCTGGTGGACGAAAAGCTCCTCTCCGCCATCATCGGGAGTGATGAACCCGAAGCCCTTGGTGCTGTTGAACCACTTCACCTTGCCGGTCTGAACGCCGGGGGTGGCAGCGACATCGGGGGCAGCCATTGTTGAAAAGGTGAAGAGGAAAGCTGAGATGGCTCTGAAAGAACTGAGTGAAATCAAAGCCTGTGAATGCAAATGAGGATTGTGAGTGCAGGTGGGGGTTTTCAAGTGCTGCGGGTGCGAGAGAAGGGAGGCGAGAAGGAGCAGGTTTGGTTGGAGAGAACTGGGTTTGGAACTTGGGATAGAGGGCTCGGAAGAGAGGAATCACACGGCTTTCCAAGCCAATCTCAATGCTGTCGAAATCTGTTAAGCGCGTCTCGTACCGAAGAGGAAACAGTTCCAAATTGAACAGAGATTAGAAGTCTTATCAAGATGAGCGGTCCGATTCTATGGATCTGGTAGTTCCTCTTCGATGAAATCTTGTGGACCTCTTCCCGCCACTTTTCCTGTGGTTGGAAGAGGGTGCACCCTCCGCAAAACCCCGGGGTTTCTGAACACAGGGTTTCGTGCTGATCGAAGGTACTCTTCCTGCGTCCTTGACATCTAGCCGTTTATTGACGTCCCCTGCATGTGATGTCGGTTGGGTGCGCAGAAAAGGGCAACCTGCGAAGATATTTGTTTGCCGCCGTGGCTCCCCCAGATTCTCTCATCAATTATATGCCGTCAAATTGCTGACTTGTGAAGATCCAACGGCAGATCACTCCAGGATAAACTTTTATCGGCCAACCAAACATACGACTGGCTCGATGTCAGGTAACTTTCGGAACAATCGCATCGCACCCTGCCAGCATGTGAGCCAGCAAGGCCTACACTTCCCCAAGCTTCTCCGCCTCATCTAATCTGGGGAGGCAAAAAACAATGTGTGTTCTAGTTTGCACCCCATCAATCGCCATATCCCTTCTGGTGAGGCTACATTTTGCCACGCCCAATCTTTGTACACCTGATATTGTGGGGACCACCTGCCCGGAAAGGTACCCCCCGAGCCCACCATACCTGATGGCCTTGACTGCCCCGTACCTAGACCGAACCTGCAAACACCAAACGGAAACGTGTTTTGGTGTGAGATGTTTTCACTCAACGGGGCTCAGACAGATGCAGAACGTATACGTATGGTTCAGTACGGTTAAAGCTCGGTTTTGGAAACAAGCTCCACGCATTAGGCTGAAGTACCGCAGCCGACGAGTTCACCCCAAGTGAGAAATCGTACATGCACGTCTGGTTTGGTGCTTCTTCCTAGGCACTTGAGATTTTTGCCCTCCCTAGTTCTACCACTGGATTCTTTTTCCGCTTCCCTTTTTCTCTAGCAGAATTTCGCTTCTGTTGGGTTTTGGAGTTCACTGCTCCTAATAGCAGTGAGGAGAGGTGGTTGCATCACGAGTAACAACCACGAGTGGAGTTGGAAGTTGTAGTAGCAGGGTCAGATTAAGACGCAGAGGCTGTCTGCTTTATTTGGGTGAAGTTAATCTCGCGAAGCACGACCTTTCGCCATGGCGGCCAATGACGTTGATGTGTCCGCAGCCCCAGCTGCAGCGGGTGGCGTCCAGACCGGAAAGGTAAGAACTCTCTGATGTTCAACCTTCAGAAGATAATCAGTACGGGAAATTTCTGGTGTTGCTAGGTTTCGCTGCCGTGGTGCGCTGGAAGTAAGATGACGGCGCGATGTGACTTTTTTTTTCCTTTTCTTTTTGTATGGACATCGGATTCCTCGTTTAGATCTGGGGGATTGCTCAGCTGCACCTGCTGCTGTAGTGAATCCTCGCGTGAACCCTTGCTCGTCAGCATCAGCGGTATTTCTACAGGGTTTATCGTCAGCTGCACTAAACATCAATATCGACTGGGTGATTATTCGTATCAGATCTCTCTCCCTCTGTCTGACTATCAGGCATAGGATTCGCGTCTGATAGAAGTATCTGACGCACGCAGGGGGTTCCATAAACAAATTCGGGTATATTTGACATTTTACCTTTTTCATTTTTTCTAGTGATCGATTCACAGCATCAAGGGGAGGCCAGCCTGTTCCCAGTTTCGCATTATCCCTTGAATGAAAAGTACTTGACCTTCACCAAGTGCTTCCCGGGTCAGATCCGAACCTTAATCGAGCCTGAACGTCGTTTCTGCTCTTTTCCTTTCAGAATGGTTCACCATCACCAAGGATCTCATGTGCTGGTGAAGGTCATCGAACCCGAAGGATTCCGAGGCTATATTGGAAATTGATTCGCAGCCTCGACGAGAACGAGGCCTTCGAGTTTACCACTGAAACCAATTCCGAGGGCCGTCGAAGCTAGATTCAACCTGATTTTACCCTTTTTCCGAACCTCTCCCTAACCTCTCCCGAACCTCTCCCTAACCTTCCCCGAACATTTCCCGAACCTGCAGGTGAAGTGGTTCAACAGCACCAAGGGCTTCGGGTTCATCACGCCCAACGACGGCGGCGAGGATCTGTTCGTCCACCAGACGAGCATCAAGGCGGAGGGCTTCCGCAGCCTCGACGAGAACGAGGACGTCGAGTTCACCATCGAAACCGCCTCTGACGGCCGCACCAAGGCGATTAACGTCACCGGCCCCGGCGGCGCGTTCGTCAAGGGCGCGCCGAGGCGGGACAATTTCGGCGGTGGCGGCGGGTACGGCGGCGGCGGGTATGGCGGCGGCGGCGGCGGGTACGGCGGAGGCGGGTATGGTGGCGGGGGCTATGGGGGCGATTTCGGCGGTGGGGGAGGATATGGGGGTGCGGGTGGGTATGGCGGCGGGGGGTATGGCGGAGGCCGTGGGGGGAGGTCCGGGGGAAGAGGCGGGGGTGGTAACTGTTACAGCTGCGGGATGCCTGGGCACATGGCCAGGGATTGCCCCCAGGGTCCGTCGGCTGGCGGAGGTGGTGGGGGAGGAGGGCGTGCCTGCTACACCTGCGGCCAGCCTGGGCATATTGCAAGGGACTGCCCCTCCGGCGGGCAGTAGTGTGATGGTGTGCTTATAACGAGGTTGGAGTAAAGGGGTGGTGCTTCTGGCTTGTGTGGTGTAGTCAGAAGGGGGTGTGCATATGTGCATTGGATTAATTCCAATGTGCTATGGGCTAGAAGGCAACAATGGGGGTTGTTGATTACTGTCAATTAGTGAATGCATGTCAATGCGTGTATTTGCTGCCACTAGATGGTGCTCAGCTGACTGCTGTTCCAGAAAGAAAAAATCCTCAGGGTGCTGATTCCGACTGGAGGAAATTAGCACTGTCTAGAAAGTGCCTAACCCAAACACAAGTGCATGGTACACGTGAGCGTGTGCCGGACGTATGCCAGCCGTCAGATTTGTCTGACCTCCGGATCCTCCGGCCATTCTCACACGTGAGCGTGTGCCGGACGCCACTTTTCGTTTGCCGAAGATTTCGGTAGTGGCGGTGCGAAGGATTCCTGAGTCGCTCTCATACCATGTTGCGAACTGCAGTTGATCGACCTCAGGATCACCTCAGGAAGGTTCGCACACTCCTAATCTAGTGGTGGTGGGCCCTTGACCTCAATAGCAGGGTTTAGGGTTTATGAATCGACCTAGCTAGCCATGTACTCTAAGGGGTACATTCCCTTATTACATCGAAATCCAACCGTGCGACTCCAGACAGTTACGAAACTGTCCGGGCAGAATCCTCGCCACTGCTGCTGCCTGATGCTGTCTGCCCGACGGTCCAGATGCTTTCGTAACCGTGCGACTCTTCGCGTCACTTGTGCCTTTTCGCCTTCACTCTCAGTAGTGCGTGCTTCGTTTGATGCGGTGAGGAGTGCACAGTAATATTTCAACAATTACTATTCGTAACATATACCACCTTCGTAAGTAGTGTAGTGAGTATGTGGATCACCTTTTTATAGTGAAGAATGGAAGACCCTCTTTCCTCTTGGACCGTGGTACGTTTGTTCTCTCGCCTGATCGTGACGGGGGATGGGTTGTGAGCAGGGTCCTCGTTATCAGACCAAATCGGTCTGATGGTCTGAAAATCAAACCTACTTTTTTCATTTCATCTGATTTTCTAGACAAACTACCCATAATCCCCCGTATATAAGACCCTAGGGTCTTATGATAATCACCCCTAAAAAGGCTGGGGGGTATAATTATATGGTATATATTTTATAAGACCCGGGTCTTGTCATATTGACATTTATAAGAATGTAGTTTTGGAGCTCCAAGAAGTGATTTGGAATTGCTCCGTTTTTAGCTCCTCCCAAAAACACTCGAATTGGTCTCCACGCGGGCCGAACCCACGTCATCACGAACCCTATCTGGGAGCCTCCTCCCATTGGCAACAAACACCACTTGGTGTTCACACGACAGCGCAGGGCACCGTTTGATGGCCCAGCGCGCAGTGTCGCCTCGGCCTTCACACCCCATGCACGCTGCGTACGGGCTGCACAGTCCTGGAAAGGGCTGTATTCTGGCACGTCCTTGTTCATCGGGCTAACTTCACTTCCCCCTCCTGTTTCTTTCCCCGTAGGAGGTGGAGATTTGGGTTGCGGGACAGGATTAGGATGATAATGTGGGTGTGCATGTGCGTTCATGGGTGTGATTTCTGTAAATCAACATGGAATATGACCATTTTCAATTGCATTTTTGTAAAATCCGCACTTCTCTAGGATGTGGGGGGGTCTCTCAAGATTGGTTAGCAACGGAATGGTTGGAATAGAAACGAATGGGGTACAAATAAGCAACCCTAGAAACTGTACCCCCTAGAGTGCAACTCACTACAGCCTATCATATCAATGTTCAACATTTGACACACCCCCATAGGCTAAGTGAGGGGCATCAAAGCAAGCAAGGTGAACAAACGGTCACAAGACCAGTCAAAGCAAGAAACAAGGCAAGCTCAGGGTGGATCTCAAGGACACCACACAAATTCCGAGCGCAAGCAAGCGGCCACAAGGCCAGTTCAAGAGTTCACTAGGATATAAATAGGAAGCACAACAAGCAGAGCAAACTAACAAGACTACAGCAACCGAGGGCCTACCTCAACAAGCCCCAACTGCACACAGAACCTGTGTTGATCACCAAGCGCCAAGGCCTTGGTGAAGACGTCTGCAGTGTTGGCCTCTGAGGCCACAAAGTCCAGGCGTGCCTGGCCGCGTCGCTGCAGCTCTCGCAGGAGGAAGTACCTCACGTCAATATGCTTCACTCTGCTCTCCAGTCGAGGCTCTCGACACAGGAGGATCATGGCCTTGTTGTCAGCGTACAAGGTCGGTGCAGAGCGAGGCCGCTCACCAAGGTCGGCGAGCAAGAAGGTCAACCAGCGAAGCTCCTGTGCCGCCATGGCACCCGCGTAGATCTCTGCCTCTGCACTGGAAGTAGCCACAGACGACGACCGTGTAGACCTCCACGACACAGCACCAGCTCCCAGACTGAAGCAGTAACCCTGAGTCGAGCGCTGAGTCTCCACGTCGTCAGCGTAGGAAGAGTCACAGTGACCAGTCAACGCCACTGGCCGAGTCCCTCCAAGCACAAGCCCCATGCCTGATGTAGTCGCCAGGTACTTCGCCACCCTCACAGCAGCTGTCCAGTGGACAGGGCGGTGTCTCCCAGTCGCAACAAAGCGAGAAAGGATGCTGAGGGGAAAGGCGAGGTCCGGTCGAGTACAAGTCATCAGGTACATGAGGCAGCCCACCAGCTCTGCGTAGGGTCCACTGGACTCAAAGGGCTCGTCAAGAAAGGGGCCCGTGAGTCTGTGGTCAACAGCAAGAGGAGTGGGCTGAGTGGTGGAGAACTGGAAGTCGAATCGCCGAAGGACCTGCTGCACCATGTGTGACTGCGTCAGTGTGATGGTGCGAGCGGCTTTGTCCCGGGTGATTTGCAAACCAAGGTAACGCTGCAGCTCACCCAGGTCAGTGCACTTGTGTCTCTTCTGCAGTTCGGACTTCACCTGAGCCAGGGCTGCCCTGTCTGCTGTAGCAAACACCAAGTCGTCGACGTAGACAAGGATAAAGAAAGGAGTAGAACCCGCTCGAACAAACAGCGACGGGTCGGCGGAGGACGGGCTGAACCCAAGGTCACGAAGCGTGGAGCGAAGAGTGTCGTGCCACTCACGGGGCGACTGGCGGAGACCGTAGACTGGTCGCCTCAGGCTCCACTGGGTCCCAGGTGGGAAGGTGTCAGTGAAGCCAGGAGGACGGCGCAGCCATATCTCCTCGTGCAGTCGGCCCTGGAGGAACGCAGTGGAGAAGTCGAGGGAGTGCAGCTCGTAGTCTCGCTGCGCTGTAATGTGGAGTAACACCCGAAGAGTAGTCATCTTCGGGGTCGGGGCGAAGGTCTGGAAGAAGTCAACTCCCTCACGCTGACTGAAGCCCCTAGCCACGTAGCGCGCCTTGAACACCGGCGGTGCTCCAGGCGGCCGCTTCACCTTGAAGAGCCACATGCCATCGACTACGTTCGCCCTGGGAGGGGGAACTGCGTCGACGTAGGTGCCTGTGGATCTCCAAGACGCCAACTCTGAGTCCATAGCCGCTTTCCACTGAGAGGCCCACGCCCCTGACACTGCCTCGCGGTAAGTGCGAGGAGTCGGTATGTCAAGGGCGTCGGGGTCTCCCTCAGGGGAGAGCAGCATGGCACACACAGAGGGAGAAGCGGCTGCCCAGTACTCCAGCTCAGACTCTCTGTCCTCTAGGACGTCACAGCCAAGGGCAAACCCACCCCCGACGGACAGAGGACGGTAGGGAGGAGGTGGCACCACACGGGTGGCGTAGTCAAGGCGGCTGGCGGCAACAAACTCAGCGACAGTGGCAGTAAGAGCAGAGACCGACGACGGAGGGAAACGAGAGTCGGTGACAAGAGTGGCGAGGACACGTGCGGCAACAGGACGAACAGTGCGGTAGTAGTCAGTGATAGGAGTGGGGAGGGCTGGGAGAGAGGACGGAGGAGGAGACGGGAGAACGGACACAGGAGAAGGAGAACGACGACGAGACGTACAAAGGAGGGCAGTGTGGAGGTCAGTAACAGGGGACGAGTGACGAGCACGCGGAGGACAACGAGTGACCAAGTCGCGACGGACCGAAGGAGGAGGAGACTGGGGAGGAGGAGAAGACCAGACCGCCGGACGGTCGTCAGGAGGAGGCAACGGAGGAACAAACACAGGAGGAGACTGGGAGCGGACAGGAGGAGAGGAGGAAAAACCAAGGGCCCGCAGGCCACTCACAGGTGGGAACAACCGCCGCTCCAAAGGAAGCTGCGGTGGCGGCTGCGGCTGCTGCTGCTGCGGCGGGGGCTGCGGCTGCGGCTGCTGCTGCTGCGGCTGCTGCTGCTGCTGCTGCTGCGGCTGCTGCTGCTGCTGCTGCGGCTGCTGCTGCGGCTGCTGCTGCTGCTGCTGCGGCTGCTGCTGCTGCGGCTGCTGCTGCTGCTGCTGCTGCTGCCGCTGCTGCTCCAGAAGGTCCAGCACCCGCAGCTCCTGCCGCTCCCTCTCCAACCGCTCCTGCTCCTCACGCTCACGCCGGCGGGCAGCCTGGAGTCGTGTGTCGTGGCGGTGGGGAGGCGGAGTGGACGGTTTTGACGGTGGGAATGGGCGGGGAGGGCGGTTTGATGGTGGGAATACGGGCTAGGTCGAAGGCTGGGGCGACGGGCTAGGGTGTACGGGCCGCGCGTGGGCAACGGGCAGGGCGCACGGGCGCCGCGACGGGCTGGGGCAGAGCCTACGGGCGTCGCGACGGGCTGGGGCAGAGCCTACGGGCGTCGTGACGGGCTGGGGCAGAGCCTACGGGCGTCACGACAGGCTGGGGCAGAGCCTACGGGCGTCGCGACGGGCTGGGGCAGAGCCTACGGGCGTCGCGACGGGCTGGGGCAGAGCCTACGGGCGTCGCGACGGGCTGGGGCAGAGCCTACGGGCGTCGCGACGGGCTGGGGCAGAGCCTACGGGCGTCGCGACGGGCTGGGGCAGAGCCTACGGGCGTCGCGACGGGCTGGGGCAGAGCCTACGGGCGTCGCGACGGGCTGGGACAGAGCCTACGAGCGTCGCGCGGGCTAGGGGCAGGGCGCGGGCTAGGCGCGGAGGGTGGAGTGGCGCGGTTTAGGCGCGGAGGCACAATGGGTGCGGAGGTGCGAGCTAAGCGCGGAGGGCGCGGAGGGCGCGGAGGGCGCGAGCTAGGCGCGGAGGGTGAACACTAGGCTAGGAACGGGCTAGGAACGGTCCTGCTCGTGATACCATCTCAAGATTGGTTAGCAACGGAATGGTTGGAATAGAAACGAATGGGGTACAAATAAGCAACCCTAGAAACTGTACCCCCTAGAGTGCAACTCACTACAGCCTATCATATCAATGTTCAACATTTGACAGGGTCTTATAATGTTAGGAGCCATTTAGGGGGGTATAACTCAGATGTACTCGAATAGAGTACCCCCCTCCGTATTATAGACCCGGGGGTCTACAACTGGAGGGGGTCTTATATACGGGGGATTACGGTATTTTAATTCGTCTGATCCATAAGACCAGTTATTATGTTTCGTCTGAAAATACAGACCCAGCATTATAGTTCGTCTGAGAAATCAGATAGTGCGTACATTTTCGTCGGAAACCAAGTACCGAGTAGGCCCCTTCTCCCCCCCACCCACCCCCACCCCTCTCCTCCCCCCCAACTCATCAGCCCCCCCGCACCCGAATTCCCTCGCTCCTCCCCACTACCCCGAATTTCCCCCTGCGTCTCCCAAATCTACGACACTCGTGCCCCCCCAGCCCCAATACCCCCACCACCCCCTTGTCCCGATCGCAGCCCGAACCCCCCACCCTCCCCGTCCAGCCCAACTCCCCCTTCGTACCTATCGCATCGCAGCCCAAACCCCCCACCCTCCCTGTCCCCCCCATCAGCCCAACTCCCTGTTACGGTAGTCCCGCTCGCAGCCCAACACCCACCCCCCCCTGCCCCTCTCCCCCCTCTCGCAGCGAAGCCCTACCCAGTTTAGGTTGTATCGCCCAGAAAAAAGGTAAAACAGTGCAGAATTCCAATTTGCTAAAAAACAGACAACACTATGTGTTTCATCTGAAAAGTCAGACATGGGTTTTGCATTCGTCTGAAAAATCAGACCATTTTTTTTCCCTCGTCTGAACGTCAGACGAAAGTTTTTTTTCATTTATATTTTCAGACAGGCTCAAATCCTAGCAAGAGCCCTGGTTGTGAGGCAAGTTGTTGGCTCGTGGGGAGCGGATGGTGAAAGGGAAGCATGACGTGTGCGGTACAACGATCAATGCAATGTCCAACCATTCTGGTCACAGGGGCAACTTGCCAGATGATTGTCGCACTGTACTGTTTTTTCGTCTGCCCTGAAAGCGCGTTCCCATACGTGGCTCGAAATTTACCACGTCATGTCGATATCAACCAACCGACCGCGCCGTCAATCTTTCATGCATCCCACCGCGCGGCAGGGAGGGGTGACCAGTCTACGGTCTCCGCCAGGCGCCCCGTGAGTGGCACGACACACTGCGGACGACGCTTGCGGCTGTTGGGTTTGCACCTTCGACTGCTGACCTATTTCTGCGCACCGACCCTACTATGCCGCCGTTCTACATCCTCGTGTACGTCGACGACTTGGTCTTTGCTACTACCGACACTGAGGTGCTGACCCTCGTGAAGGCGGAGCTGCAGAAGAGACACACCTGCACTGACATGGGTGAGCTGCGCAGCTATATTGGCTTGCAGATCACTCGGGACAGAGCACGGCGCACCATCACTGTGACTCAGTCACACATGGTGCATCAGGTCCTTCAGCGCTTCGGCTTCGAGTTCTCCTCGCCACAGGTCCTCCATGTTAGAATAAGCAGGTAGGAATGATGGACTAGGTAGCATGCATGAGTACAAGTACCTAACCCTAAAGTGTTGTACCCCTTGTAGGCTAACCCACTATAGCCTAGAGAGAACACAAACACAGAGTTTGACACACCCCCATAGGCTAAGTGGGAGATAGCAAACACAACAGACGGTCACAAGACCAGTCAAGCAAGAGAACAAGCAAAGCAAAGCAAAGCTCAGGGTGGATCTCAATGACACCACACAATCTGAGCACAAGCAAGCGGCCACAAGGCCAGTTCACATGCAGAGTTATAATAGCAAGGCACTACACTGATCACAACCTAGCAAGAGTAAACAAGCAGGTATAAAGATATATATCAGAGTACAACAAGAGCAAGTCAAGCAACCAGCAGGTGAGGCAGAGTGGGCACAAGCCCAAGAGCAGTGCAGAAACGGTGATGATCACTAGACCCAAGGGCCTTGGTGAAGACATCAGCAGTGTTGGACCGAGAGGCCACGTAAGCAAGGCGCAGCTGACCACGCTGCTGCAGCTCACGCGCAAGGAAGTAGCGAAGAGCAATGTGCTTCGTTTTGTGCTCCAGTCTCTGCTCGCGACACAAGGAAAGCATTGCCTTGTTGTCGACGTACAGAACTGGAGGAGAACGAGGACGCTCCCCCAAGTCGGTCAGCAGGTAGGTCAGCCAGCGTAGCTCCTGTGCAGCCATGGCCCCAGCGTAGATCTCGGCCTCGCAGCTGGAGCCAAGCACAGAAGAAGAACGAGTGGACCTCCACGAGAAAGAACCAGAGCCAAGACTGAAGGTGTAACCCTGTGACGAACGCTGAGTCGTCTGGTCGTCGGCCCAAGAAGCGTCAGAGTGTCCTGTGAGTACCACTGAACCCCGTCCTCCAAGCACGAGCCCCATGCCCGATGTACTGCACAAGTAACGCAGTACCCTCTTCGCAGCATCAAAGTGCACCTTTCGGTGTCTACCGGGTGCCACGTAGCGAGCCAGGAGGCTGAGAGAGTACGCGAGGTCAGGTCGTGTGCACGTCATCAGGTACATGAGGCAACCCACAAGCTCTCGGTACGGACCACTCGGCTCTACGGACTTGTCCAAAGGTGGAGCTGAGAGGAGTGGCCAGTAGACAGAGGAGTGGGCTGTGGCGAGGACCACGTGAAGCCGAAGCGCTGAAGGACCTGCTGCACCATGTGTGACTGAGTCAGGGTGATGGTGCGCCGTGCTCTGTCCCGGGTGATCTGCAAGCCAAGATAGCTCCGCAGCTCACCCAGGTCAGTGCAGGCGTGTCTCTCCTGCAGCTCCGCCTTCACTAGGGCCAGTGCCTCAGTGTCAGCAGTAGCAAAAACCAAGTCGTCGACGTACACGAGGATGTAAAACGCCGGCAGAGTAGTGTCGGTGCGTAGAAACGGCGACGGGTCAGCAGTCGAAGGAGCAAACCCAAGAGCCGCAAGTGTCGTCCTCAGTGTGTCGTACCACTCGCGGGGCGCCTGACGCAGGCCGTACACTGGTCGCCGGAGGCTCCACTGGGTACCCTCAGGAAACGACCTAGTGAAGCCCTGTGGACGGCGCAATCAGATGGCCTCGTGAAGGCTACCCTGCAAGAAAGCTGTCGAGAAGTCGAGGGAGTGCAGCTCGTAGTCACGCTGAGCTGCAGCGTGTAGCAACACCCGAAGAGTGGTCATCTTCGGGGTGGGGGAGAAGGTCTGAAAGAATTCGACCCCAGCACGCTGACTGAAGCCTCGAGCAACGTAACATGCCTTGAAGGCAGGCGGAGAACCCGGCGGCCGCTTCACCCTGAAAATCCACATGCCACTGACGATGTTCGCCCCAAGTGGGGGAACCTCGTCGACGTAGGTGCCTGTGGACTTCCAAGAAGCCATCTCTGCGTCCATGGCTGTCTGCCACTGAGAGGAGTAGGGACCCTCTATCGCCTCTGCGTAAGAGCGCGGGGTCGGGATGTCTGGTGCATCCGGGTCTCCCTCAGGGGCAATCAGCATGGACACGAGATGAGGTAAAGCAGCGGCAAAGCACTCAAACTCCTCCTGTCTGTCCTCAAGGACGTCCTTGCCAAGAGCACACTCACCCCCGACGGACGGAGGATAGACCGACTCAGACTCAGCAACAAGGCTAGCGGCGTAGTCTAGACGACAGGCGGCAGCAAAGTCAACAAGCTCAGCAACTAGAGCAGACGCAGAAGTGGACTCAAAGGAAGGGTCAGTGACAACAGTAGCGAGAAGACGCGTGACAGTAGGACTGGCAGCACGAGCAAGGTCTGACGGCGGGTCAGCAACGTCAGGAAGAGAGGAAGCAGGAGGAGACAGCAGAGGGACACGCTGAGGAGCAGTGGAAGGACGCAGAGTCATATAGTGAGTGCCAGGGACAGGAGGAGGACGCTCACGCGGAACACGACGACCAGTGCGGACAGCGCGGACAGGCGACTCTGGACGAGACTCAGGAGACGCTGGACGAGACTCAGGCTCACGACGCTCCGTAAGACCGCTAGTCGGTCCAGCGTAAGGAGAAGGACCAGGCAGCGGAGAGGCCGGCTGTAACTGTGACTGCGACTGGACAGGCGGTGGACTCAGTAGGGGAGGAGTAGAACCAGTAGAGGGCGGGAGGCCAAGAACCTGCTGAAGGAGTGGAACGTAGTACGGCAGCGGCCGCGCAGCACCTCCTGACCTAGCAGAGACAGCACCAGCACCCTCAGCTCCAGGGTCTCCAGCTACAACTCCCGCAGCACCACCAGCAGCTCCAGCAGCTCCAGCTCCAACTCCCGCAGCAGCTCCAGTACCTCCAGTACGAGCACCTCCAGGACCAGCTGCTCCAGCAGCTCCAGCACCAGCAGCACCTCCAACAGCACCACCACCAGCTCCAGCACCAGCAGCACCTCCAGCAGCTCCAGTACCAGCAGCACCTCCAGCAGCTCCAGCACCAGTAGGACCTCCAGCAGCACCTCCAGTAGCTCCAGCACCAGCAGCACCGCCAGCAGCAGGCCCCTCAGCTCCAGCAGCACGGCTACAGCGCCTAGCGTACCACTCACGAAGCTGCCGTGGAGAGAGGGGCTCCCGCCGCAGCGGGACACTCGGAGGACCTCCAGTCTCAGCACCCCCAGACTCAGCAACCCCAGGCGCAGCACCCCCAGGCTCAGCACCCCCAGGCTCAGCACCCCCAGGCACAGCACCCCCAGGCACATCACCCCCAGACCCGGCACCCTCAGGCTCAGCACCCCCAGCAGCACCTGAGTCAACAACTACCTCAACAGGCTCGACTGCGTCTACCTGAGACACACCTGAGGGGGCAGGACCCTGAGGGGGGAGGGGGTCTACCGGAGGAGTACCTGGCGCAAGGAAGAGCGGCGGGGGGGGGAGGGGGGCAGTGCGGTAGGGGAAGAGACGGTAGTAGGGAGCCGACTCGTCAAACGTGACGTCCTGAGAGGACAGAACACGGCGCGAGGTGGGGTGGTAGAACTGCCAACCAGGCGCGTCAGGGGGGAAGCCAAGGAAGGCGCAGGGAACGGCACGAGAGGACAGCTTGTCCGTAGACAAGTCGCGGACGAAAGCTCGAGATCCCCAGACACGGAACACAGACGCATCGCCAACCTTCCCCGTCCACCGCAGAGTGGGGGTGGTCTCCGGCAAGGAGACCCGGGGCTGGAGGTTGATCTGATGCGCCGCGTACTGAACCGCGAACGGCCACAGAAAGTGGGGAGCAGCCGCATGGATCATGGACGTACGAGCGACATCCATGACCATGCCAATGCGGCGCTCAGCAATCCCATTTTACTGTGGAGAGGCCGGAAGCGTGAACGTCTGGCGGATGCCCTCCGCCCGACAGAAGGCCCGCAGAAGGTCAGAGGAAAACTCACCACCTCTGTCTGAGTGCAGACGCACAACAGGAACGTCCGAGCCGAAGCTCTTCCTGAGCTGGAGACGAGCAGCGCGAATCCAGTCGATCAACACCTCAGTGACCTCACCCTTGCGGCGCAAGGGGAAGACCGTGGTGTAACGCGAGTAGTCGTCAACGACCAGCAGGAAGTAACGCTCGTGACCCTGTCCACGGACGCGGGCTGGGCCCCACACGTCCATGTGAAGAGTCTGCAGTGGGGCCTCTGTCGGAGGAAACTCGGAGGAGTGAGGAGCGGCGCGCTGCCGGCCCTCGACGCAGGGAACGCAGGTAGGGGCAGGCCCCGGAGGAAGGGGAGGGAGGGACTCAGGAAGACCCGAGACCAGGACACGGGAGGCCATGCCTCGAAGACGAGGCAGGGAGGGGTGACCAAGGCGGTGGTGCCAAAGAAGAGTCTCGTGGGCCAGGAGGCGACACGAGCAGGGGGCAGACTCAGGGCCAGACCGGGACGCTGCAGCAAACACCTGACCCGACGCGGCTACCTGACGAGGAGGAGACTCAGTGGTAAGGGTGTACAGGCTGGACCCCGGCCTACGGGTGAACGTGGCCAGGTGACGACCCGTCCGAGCACACGTGCAGTGCGTCACACGCTGGTGGGCAGGGGTGAACTGGTGAACACCCCCATCCTGAACTTCAGCACCCGCCACCAAGTTCGTAGAGAACGAGGGGAGGTAAAGACCAGACAGCGAGCCGGACGGAACAGCAGGACACGGGAGGACAGTGGAGGAACTGGCCACAACTGGTCCCCCAGAGGGGTCAGCCAGAGAGACTGCCACCGGCCGACTGAGCGGCGAGAGGGTGGTGCAGTCGCGAAAGAAGGAGCGGGAGGCACCCGAGTCAAGGGTGAAAGTGTGCAAGACCTGAGCCGACGCGGTACCTGAGAGAGCAGCCTCACCAGCACCTGGAGCAGCAGACTCACTAGCACCTAGAGCAGCAGCCTCACCAGCACCTGGAGTAGTCTCACCAGCACCTAGAGCAGCAGACTCAATGCCCGGGTCGGGCGGAACACACAGGTAACAGTCACCCTCATCACTAATAGACACAGCATACATAGCAGCAAGGATAGCATCATAGTCAAGATCAAAGATAGCAACCCCCGACTTAAGCAGAATATCCCAGCGAGGGATCTCCGAGGAGCCAGGGAACTGAGTGCGCCAGGCGTCAGTCAGGCGGCCGAAGCAGCGTGGTGTGGTGTGCGGGCCTCCGCACGGCTCTCCACGGCGGTCGCCAGTGCGAAGAACGTAGGTGCAGGGACCAGCACCCCCAGACCTCCCACGCCCAGCGTACCACTCACGAAGCTGCTGAGGCGACGGGGTCTCACCGGAGCGCTGCTGCTGCTGGCGCTGGCCACCGCCAGGGCCTCCCCGCTGCCCACCACCACCCCCGCCACTCCCACCTCCTCCGCCGCCGCCGCTACCTCCACCCCCACTCCCGCTGCCTCCGCCGCCTCCACCTCCACCGCCGCCGCCTAAGCCCCCAGTCCCGCCACTACTCCCACCTCCACCCCCACCCCCTCCTCCTCCTCCACCGCCACTGCCGCCGCCCCCGCCGCCCCCTCCACCCCCCTTGCCCCACTTGCCCTTGCTGTTGCGGCACCTGCCACTAGGAGCAGACGCAGTGCCGACCGACTCGGTGCCAACGAGGTCGACAGCAGCAGCAGAGGCAACAGAGGGCAAAAGAGGGACGGGGGAGCACCCCTCAAAGAAAGGGGCACGGGGGTCACCACGAGAGGCTCCTACAGCGACTATACTCGTCTCAGCTGCAAGGAGGCGCTCCTCGAGGAGGTCAACAGTGAGCGTGGTGGGGCAAAGAGAGAGGAAGTGGTCCCTGACCGAGCAAAGGGAGTCAGGGAGCCGGGTAACGAGGTAGTAGAGAGTGATGTACATAGGGGGGGGGTTCTTGGCGCAGAACTCGGTAGGAAGCGCAGCGCGGTAGCAGGTGTCACTAGTGCGAAGGTGCGTAATGAGGTCAGCGACTGTGGCAAAAGCGGCTAGGTCAGGGAACAGGTACGGCAGCATGAGGCGGCTAAGGGCAGCAGTGGCAGGGGAGGAGTAGCGCGCAACAACAGCAGTGTACAGAGTGCTAGCAGTCTTGTACTGGCTAAAGTGTGCGCGCTCAGCAGAAGGCAGGTGACTACGGACAGCAAGACGGGCAGCAGCATCGCGCGTGATCCACTGTGAGCGAACAGTACTGGCAGAGGTGAGATCAAACAGTGAGATACCGTCTTTGCTATCGCACTGCAGGAAAAGCTGCAGATCATCGATCCAGACCTCAAAGTCGACAGCTCGCCCCTCAGCATCGAAGGTAAGTACATTGGGACTAGCCATCACAGCAGCAGCACTAGCCTAGCAGCAGTAGCAGCAGCGCGACTCGGCTAAAGGGCGCGGCTCGGCAGGGCGGCGCGGCTCGGCGGTGCGCTTACCAGGGGCGAGTGGGTAGGGTGGCCGCGACTGGGCGGCAGGGCAGGGCCGCGGCTCGGCTGCAGGGCAGGGCCGGGGCAGTGGCGACGGCTGCGGCGGCGGCGGCTCGGAACACCGGCGGCGGCGGCAGGGACAGCAGCTGCTGCAGGGCTCCGCGGCGGCTGCTGCAGGTGGGCGGGGCCACGACCGGCGAGAGGGGCTGGGCGGGGCCGCAGCGGCGGGTCGACGAGCGGAGCCGAGGAGGGCCGCGAAGGGGGGCCGCGAAGGGCCGTGAGAGGGCCGCGAAGGGGCCGTGAAGGGTCGTGAGGGGGCCGCGAAGGGCCGCGACGGAGCCGCGAAAGGCCGTGAAGGGGCCGCGAAGGGCCGTGAGGGGGCCGCGAAGGGCCGCGAAGGGGCCGCGAAGGGCCGTAAGGAGGGCCGCGAAGGGCCGCAAGAGGGGCCGCGAAGGGCCGTAAGAGGCGCGACGGGCCACTAAGGGCAGGGCACGCGACGGGAGGGCAGGCGCACGGGGCGCAACTAAGGCAGGCGCGACAGCGCGCTTCGGGCAGGTAGGAAAAATTTCAGTGGTGGGCCCTTAAAAAAAAATTCGTTCCCACTAGGGAACCTGCTCTGAAACCATGTGAAGAATAAAGCGAAGAATGGATGAACTAGCAAACAGGTGGGTACAAGTAGGAAACCCTAGAAGTGTTGTACCCCATATTGTCTACCCCACTACAGCCTACACAGACAATGTCATATAACTCTGACATAGCGCGGCAGGGGGGGCAGGGTCCTGGGGAGGCCAGAGACAAGGAGACGGGAGTGCATGCTGCGTAGACGCGGGAGGGAGGGATGACGAAGACGGTGGTGCCAGCGCTGAGTCTCGTGCGTGAGTACTCTGCACGAGCAAGACGCAGCTAACTGTCCCGACGCAGACGCCCGACTCGACGCAGCCACCTGACCTGACTCAGCCACCTGTGCAGACGCAGTGGTCAGTGTGTACAGACTAGACCGAGGCTGTCGAGTGAACGTAGCCAGGTGACGGCCAGTCCGGGAGCATCGCCACACGTTGCCCTCCAGGAATAAAGGTATCAACCCAGACATCCTGAATGGCAGCGTTGCTCACCAAGTTCGTCGAGAACGTGGGGAGGTGGAGACCTGACAGAGAACCGGAGGGGACTGTTGGACACGGGAGGACAGTGGAGGCTCGCGCAACTGCTGGGCCCCCAGAGGGGTCAGCCAGTGAGACTGGGACAGGTGCTGCGAGTGGTGTGACGACTGTGGTGCAATCACGAAAGAAGCAACGTGACGCACCTGATTCAAGCGTGAAAGTGTGCAAGACCTCAGCTGAGGCAGGACATGTGGCAGTAGACGCACTAGCACCTAGAGCGTCGGCAGACTCACGCGCACCTAGAGCTGCAGCAGACTCACCAGCACCTGGAGCAGCAGCAGACTCACTAGGACCGAGAGCAGTAACCTCTACACAGCCAGGGACGCATCGCTGAGAAGCACAGTCGCGAGGCCGCTTAGGCCACGTATAACCAAAACCTCCACCACCAGGACCACCTCGCTGAACAACCCACTCACGAAGCTGCTGAAGGGTGGGGTCGTCCGGAAGAGGCAGTGCCAGCTGCTGTCCACCCCTGGTCGCAGCAACTGCCGCGATAGTGGACATGACATACAGTGACGGTCAGGAGGAGGTCCAGCACCTCCGGCTCCTCCAGCACCAGCAGCACCTCCAGCACTCCCAGCAGCATCTCCACCAGCAGCAGTAGTTTTTTGTTGTTGTTTTTTTTTTTTTTTTTTTTTTTTTTTTTTTTGAATAAGGCGGCGCGCTGGCTGCAGGGGCAGCACCCACGGGCTGCAGGGGCGACGCGCGGCTCGGCAGGGCGGCGCGCGGGCTGTAGGGGCGGCGCGCGGCTCGGCAGGGCGGCGCCCAGGCTGCTGGGGCGATGTGCGGCTCGGCAGGGCGGCGCGCGGGCTGGAGGGGCAACGCCCACGGGCTGTAGGGGCGACGCGCGGCTCGGCAGGGCGGCGCGCGGGCAGCAGGGGGAGCGCCCACGGGCTGCAGGGGCGACGTGCGGCTCGGCAGGGCGGCGCCCAGGCTGCAGGGGCGATGCGCGGCTCGGCAGGGCGGCGCGCGGGCTGCAGGGGCAGTGCCCACGGGCTGCAGGGGCAACGCGCGGCTCGGCAGGGCGGCGCGCGGGCTGCAGGGGCAGCGCCCACGGGCTGCAGGGGCGACGCGCGGCTCGGCAGGGCGGCGCGCGGGCTGCAGGGGCAGCGCCCACGGGCTGCAGGGGCGACGCGCGGGCTGCAGGGGCAGCGCGCGGGCCACAGGGGCAGGCACGGCTGCAGGGGCAGCACGGTCGCAGGGGCGAGTACGGCTGCAGGGGCAGCGCGGTCGCAGGGGCGAGCACGGCTGCAAGGGCAGCGCGGTCGCAGGG